CACAGTATTCTAGTTGGACCCTACCTAGAATACTGTGTCCAGACCTGGCACCCTATCTTCAATGCGGTGAGAGGGTTCAAAGGCTAGCCACTTGGGTGGTCTCGGGTATGAGGGGTAAGCCATATGAAGAAAGGTTGGTTGCGTTAGACCTCTTTTATATGGAGAGGAGACGCAACATAGAAACTTTTAAGATAATGAAAGGATGGACTGCCGTAAGCCCCGAAAGCTTGTTCACTCAACAGCCGGTAGAAACCACCAGAGGGCATAATCTAACGATCGTAAAACGAAGGGTTCTCCTCTGTGTGCGTTTTAACTTCTACACGAACAGAGTCGTTGATAGATGGAATCAACGGCCATCGCACCTGATGGAATGTGCAATCAGAGTCTACTTCAAAAGATAGTTGGACATTATTTGGACCCAACTATTCGCAGAGGTAGTATAGAAGCGTGGTCTGGGGTTGTGTGGGGATGACATGCTTCTTGTTTTTCCAACTAATCTACTTTACGGATATGGTATTGGAATCATTTTCCTGCCGGAAAACAGTAGTGAGATAGCGACTGAAACGAGCTTGAAGCTTTGGGGGAAGCAACCTTCCTACCGGAGTAAGAATTTGGACGTTTGGTTGGTGGAAATCCTTTTCCGTCTTGCGATACCTGACCTAACCTGACCTAGTCAACCTGCCGGAATCAACGGAATCGGAGTCGCAGGCCAGGCTCAATCACAACATTACGATACTTCGCAAAACTCTGGAACGGCTGTTCGTTCAGTGAGATGAAATGGTGCAAAATTCCGTGGCGTTTGTGCATCTCAATTTGCTTACAACCACTGAAATTCTTCATTTTCTCTTCGACTCTACTTTCAGCCTTCCTATCTCTCTCCTACTGCTTCATCTAAATGGGTAGCCAAAAGACGGCAGCAAAAACCGGCGTACGATAGTGCATGGTTGATGTTTGTGCAAACCGAAACTGAAACTTGGCAGACTAAAAGGTGCTATTGCCACTTTCGGTATGTGCCTTGCTCATTCAAAGTGCGAGGTCCTGCTTCAAGACTGGATGTCACCTAGTCTCGCTTTTAAACTAAATGGTTAGGAATTAGCCATAGTGAATTGATTTTCCTTCTTAGGCAGTTGCGTGACCAATGACGGCAGAGCAGCAAAGGAGATAACCGCCCACATTTCCAAGGCTGCAGCAGCTTGCGCAGGACTGAAACACCTCTGGCGTATACTCGACGTTTCACTGACGTTAAAAGGCTGTGTACTTTGTGCAACCGTTCGTTCAGTTCTGCTTCATGGTTGTGAGACCTTGAATTTACGAGCAGAAAATATCAATTGATTAGAATTTTTCGGTTATCAGCATTTACGTAGTATGGCCCATGTGGCATTGAGTGACCGGGTTAGTAATCTGGAAGTAAGCCGTCGTGTGTTTGGGAGTTTATCAGGGATAAACTTGCTAGTTCATTGAATTCAGATTAGTAGGCTTCACTGGTTAGGACACGTATTGCGTATACCCGGCTGTCCTCTGCCGCACTCGCTTCATTCGCTGTAGTCGCTCCGGGCTGGACAAAATCACANACGTGAATACGAGGCATGGAGAAGTGCACAGGTTGGGGTCCGACTGCAACTGGTTTGTTGAAGACCTCGAGGAGTATGGCAGCGAACCAACAGCATTGGTGTTCTTGTTATAATTTCTTATCAGGTCAGAATGCTTGAAACGGTGTGTTTACACGGTTAGATTGTGTACTGTGTTGACCGCAAAAGTTCACTTTTTTCCTGCTCCCTCAAGGAGGTCCAAATCCTGTCCATCTTTCATATTACTACTAACATTGTACGCATTGTGAGTTTTGCAGCGATCAGTGCAGTTTTCTTCGCTGTATTTCGCTGTACGATGATGATGATGATCATCATCCTTGTTCAACATAGATACCAACCTATCCTTAAAAAGCAACGGACTGAAATTGAGCAGACCCAGGACTATAAGAGATTCTTCTCCCATAGGGTGATAAACAGGCCGAACAGACTGCCAGCTGAGACTGTAGTGCAGTTCAGGGCTAGACTGGACAATATGTGGACTTCACTATTCCCCGAACTTATGTAATTGCATCTTTAATCCAATCTTTCCTACTCAAAATCCAACCTTAATGGTCTCTCNATACCCTTCTGCTTTTTTCCGTCCATTTATCCTATTGTCAATCGAGATAAAGTGATTGCCTAACAGTGCGCAAAAGTGCTGGATATAGGTAAGTTATCCGTTCTAAATCTTGAGTCGACTGCTTCTGATTCTGATATTGCACTCTGCAATCTGTGAACTTGAAACCAGAGAAGTGTATCTGGCAATACATCTTTGGTGATATGAAGTATTCGAATAGTGGAAGGTCGAACCCGGTGGGGCATTTACGCACACTTGTGCAAGAAACTGGACTCTCGTTTGCTCGAGCCGCAAGTTCTGGAATCTGATCTGATCTGAATTCTGGACTCCGACGTGTGTGGTATATACACACACACACACATATATATATATATATATATATCACGTCACGTTGATTGCGGTTAGTAGCATCTAACCCTCCATGAAAACATTGAATCATAGCACTGATTCTTCCGTGGATTGGCTCTAAAAGAGCCATCTGTCAAAAAGTCACCTGGTGTTACAAACAAGGTTATTGTGACGAAAATACATTTCCTGGATACAAGTATATGAGTAAACTGACAAAAGATTACCGGATACGCATGCCTGACGAGCGGCAAGAACCGCGAAGCCGGTCGTGTGCTTCCAGGGAAATTTTGTCCAGTCATTCACATACTACTTATTATATATATAGTGATAAAATAATGTGAGAAAACTTCTTCGTTATTGTACTTCGATGCACTGCTCTATCATTGCCGCACCGATTTTACTGCAATCTGATCAGTGCACTGTTTATTTTGCAGATCAAGACCACTATGCTGACACGCATAGACGGTGATTTCCAATCTATTTTCTTCCAAGATCACGATGCTTTTATAATGGATTCACTCGCCTTGGTCAGACTTTCCCCGTGTGTACTGTCTGCCGGGAAGACTATGATATTCAATATTGCACAGGTCGAAAACAATCAGGTAAGAATTTCCAGTAATTTCTTAATCTTAGATTATCGACTGTAAAAATCCGGTCTTCATTTTCTTTGATCCTGTTTCGAATACTGTGATCAATGGGATAATTCGTTTGTGTTTGTTATTGAATGTAAAATGTGCGCAGCTGTATACAACAGTCCCAGCTGCTGTGAATTCGGAAACGCTTGGAAACTCTTTGGACGGTCTGGATTATCCCACTGAACCAATCACAATCAATTCTTCTGAGGTAATCGTCTCTCTTATGTAGAATTAATTTTTAGCTTGGATCGTGTCGTATGGAGATTAGAAAGCTCACTATTAAACCTCAAGCTTTCATGGTGTTTCCAAAACCGCATGAAATTAGTACAGTAAGTATGAATTTTGCTCAACGTTCAATTCAGGATCAAACGAAAGCGGCCTTTTATGACCTAAACACCCTACTTTGGGAAATGCAGGTACGTTTTTCTCCCTATCTGATGTCAGTGAAATCGAGTGTTAATTGTAAAACAATTTAGTTTTGTTTTCTTAACCATTAAGTTCGCCTTGGTATACAGCAGTACAGCAGTTTCCGTGATCTATAGGTGGAGAAAAAAAGCAAATTTTTTTTGTTGCACAATGTAAATTTCAGTAAAATGGGAAATTCCCGTAGACAAATAGCATACTGTATAAGGGACATTACCGGAACATCCACGAATTATCCAGTTTACTGATTTTGTGTTTAGGGAGTGTAAGGTTGTAAGTTAGGAGAAAGACAAACTGGGGGGGGGGAGGTGGGTGAGGGTGTTCCACGACTCTGCAGTTCGAGGGAAAATGAAGTTTGAAGCAGAGAAATACGACATCTGGTGACCGAACTCTGATAAAGATGACTAGATACTTGTGTACAGGATGAGCGGGTAAAAGTCGCAGGAAAAGGAACTGCCGAGGCACGCTCCGAGGAACAGAAACCAAAGTAGTAACGGTAGAGCAGGGGCAATGAACCAACTGCTCGACGTTCGTCATATCCTAGAACACAGACACTTATCGTAAACCCACCACTTCCATCTTCTTCGGCCTGAAAGCGGCTTTCGACGCAGTCGACCGCTCTAAACTCTGGCGCTGCCTTTTTCTGAAAGGTGTGCCCGAGAAGTTTATTTCGATATTACAATCTCTATAATAATAGCCAAAGCCGAGTCCGAGCTTACGGCACTTTTTCATCCGAGTTCACCACGGAAAGTGGTGTTCGATGGGGTTGCCGTCTCTCTCCATTTCTATTTCACTTTGTTATAGATTTAATTCTTGAAACAGCCCTATCCCCGTGCGGGGATAGCGGCATCGATTTACTCCTAGGTGGCGGACTGTCTGTTCTAGAGTACGCAGACGACATTGTGCTACTAAGTGAAGATCCAGGTAAGTTGCAAGCATTTCTGGATAGTTTGATTGCTAGTGTAGCGATGTCCGGCATGCGCTTGGCACCTTCAGTGTATAATTCTGCTTCAAGATTGGGTTGGCTCAGTCCCCAGCCTCATCCTGACCGGGGAAGTTGTAGAGAAAGTAGACAAATTTTGTTACCTGGGCAGCTATATCTCACTTGGTGGACGCATCACAGAAGTGTCGGCGCGCATACAGAAAGCTCGGTTGGCATTTGCCTACTTGAG